GAGAAGAGAAGAGAAGAGAAGAGAAGAGAAGAGAAGAGAAGAGAAGAGAAGAGAAGAGAAGAGAAGAGAAGAGAAGAGAAGAGAAGAGAAGAGAAGAGAAGAGAAGAGAAGAGAAGAGAAGAGAAGAGAAGAGAAGAGAAGAGAAGAGAAGAGAAGAGAAGAGAAGAGAAGAGAAGAGAAGAGAAGAGAAGAGAAGAGAAGAGAAGAGAAGAGAAGAGAAGAGAAGAGAAGAAATAAAATTGTGTAGGGGAACGTGGGGTATTGGGGTATATGTGAAGCGTACGTTCATGACTAATCAAAATTTATATTGCATAAGTTATGACTATTATTTTTATTGTCAATTTTCCTTACTACTTTTCAATGTCAGTTTTCCTTACTAGTTTTACTAATTTTCCAAACTTTGAATGCTTTTAAATTTAATTTTTTTTTATAATATCAAGTGACGGGACGAGTCGTGTGACAAGTCGTGCACCTGATGGTAAGCTACACGCATATCCATAACGCTTACAGTGCCACTTACGAGCTTTAAATCACAAAGATCTGAGGAGCACTGCCGCTGCGCCTGTCACCCCAAGACATAAGTTCACAAGTCCCATGTGCCTGTAATTTCACCAGCACCTTACCCTTCAAAACCGGAACACAGTAATGCTGACATTACTGCTTGGAGGCACAAATAGGTAAGGTGGCAGACTACCCTAGACGAACTCTTTCACTGCTATTAAAACTTTTGTAAAAACAAAGTTTACATTTCAAAACTGTTTAAATCTATCGATGTAAATGATTTTTGTAAATTTCTATTGTTCCAATAAACTCAACATTAATTATATTCTAACCGCGCTGATTAAACAGGGTTAAACGTAACAATTCAAAAGTATTTATTAAAGTATGCAACTATGTCACAATCTGTCTGTAACCAATTTTTGTTGTGTTGGTCTTATACTTTGTAATGTAGGTTTGGCGACAGGAATTTTGTGGTGGGTCTTCAAGGATAATTCTCGGAAATCTAATGATGAAACGTCCTTCCCGTAAACTATTTCTAATTTAAATTTATGCGCAGTGCAGAAAGTTTTAAATATTTCCGTAAATTGAATTAATTTTTTTTTAAAGTTGTCGTGTGGAACGGTGTATGATTCGTCGGCTTTACACGTTAGATGTACTCCAGATGTTTTCAAACCATGTTCCTGACGAATTATTTGGTTTTGAGATAGGTCACTATTCTCGAAAGCCATTTTGTTATTATTTTGTTAAGTATTTAAACCACTGTGTAAACTACAAACAATATACAAACAAAAAACGATATCGATCGTCTATTTCTTACACATTTACTCGATTTTATCTTATTACACAATGTTGATCGACAAAACTATGAAATGAATCGTCGTTTTTTTTTATCATATTTGTCAATCGTCATAAATCGAGCAAATCTGTAGGCACATTAGTTATATTTTATACCGTAAGTTCTTGTTCTGTGTTCAAAATTACATGCAAGTAAATAAAAATAATAATAATATATTCTGTGACTAGTTAATCCCAGTAAAATAGTTTTCGGTTCCAGGAAGGACGATGTTCCACGTAATCGCACGGTCGCACGAATATCAAATAACATTCGCGGAAAAACACGAAACAAACTTCCCCCTACTTGACTCATCGGCATTCTCTTCAATGCCAAAAAGTTATCATGACTGTACTCAGGCTCCACAGTTTCTATGTGACTGTACTTAATTCAATTTAGATAATTTCTATGCCCTACTTTTTAGATTACTAAGCTACGAGTAATTTCCCTCGGGTTTTGCCCACACCCATCTCATTCACCTAAAACACTGCTTTAATTACTTCTAATCTATGAATTTGTGGATTTTAAAAATTTTTGTGGTGTTTATTGCCTGATTGGCATTTTTTTATTTCATATTATCACGATAAATATCCTGTTGAATGAATCCTGAACATGTCCTTAATAAAACTTTATATGGAATTCTCTATTTTATTGGTAGTAGAGCAACTAAATTCTGCAGGGTATTACCTAGAACATCCAGACTAGACTAAAACATCGAAAATTAAAATTGGTCCTACCGGGAACCGACCACATCAACTAGCGCTCACAAGCCTAGATAAATATAGTATATTGTATTGTAGTCTTACTAAAGTTCCTTTGTTTTGTAGAAGTTTGATTATCGACCGAACTCAAGGACAAGTTGGCTTCATCAGTTTGGTTTCATAGTTCCAACAAGAACAATATGAGCTTACTCATAAAGCTGGTATGAAATATCGCTTGTCTACAGGGAGTGTATTTGAATTTAGGTCCTTATAACAAGAGATTACTAATGAACCTTTGCCCAAGTAGGTATTAAAATAAAGACGATGCAGTCTCGTGATTTAATTGAATTACATGCGGTTTTTTTTCTGTACCGAAAGGTACGTTTGCGATGTTCAAATGTTTTCATTATTAATTTATATAGGTCCTGTTGCTGGGCTTAGATTTCCTCCAAGAAGAGTTCTTAGTCCATCAAAGTGGCCCAAAAAAACATCGGCGGTGTTTAGTACAAAGGGCGAAAGCCCATTTCGAAAAATTTTTCAGTTGAGCGTATTTTAGTTTATCACGGCTATTTTAAAATATTTACGTCCTGTTTAAAATTCAATTTTACAACTTCAACTTAATTAAAATCAAAATTAAATTTTAAAACAGTCCTTAAAACGTAAAACATGCTACCAGATTTTTTTTTTCAAAATGAACTAAAATTTTTACTTGCGATTTAAATCACGTATATTTTATTGATACAAAGATAAAAAAATACCTTCGATGTGTCTGTTACCATGCCGGGGCTATGTGAGATCTTTGTAT